CCCCAAAACCCCAAAACCCCAAAACCCCAAAACCCCAAAACCCCAATATTATAAAAATATAATTTAAGAGGGAAAAATGATCAGAGAATTAAATATTAATAAAATTTCAATGAAAAAATTATCTCCAGACAAGTTGAAATGTATGGCACTTTGTTTCTGCATATCTAATTAATATATTTAGAGGGTACAGCTTACACCATAGAAGATGAGATCATCACCACCTAGCTGGTCCAACAAATAAACAGGGACTTAAAGGAAAGACCAGATTTGATGTAGCTGACATTTGAAAATAACAACATTGTTGATGTTGATGGCATATGCCAAGTCTTCTCTTCTCTTAGAAACTATGAAAAGCTAGAGGGTATTAACTTTAGATGTAATAACTTCACTGACAGAGTTATTGAGGCTCTATGTTAGGGTATTAAGATGAAGAAAGAATTAAGAGTAAGCTTTGGATTATTTTAAAAATATCTTTCAATATAGACAGTAGACTTGGGGGAAAATAGAATAACAGACCAGAGTATTTCGATGATAGGAGAAGCATTAAGAACTCACGTAAGACTTCATATGTTGTTTTTAGATAACAACAAAATAACTGATGCAGGGGCTGAAGGCCTTGCTGAATGCTTAAAAAATAAATAAGATCTAAGAATATTGAATATCGATAATAATCAGATAGGCCCAGATGGTGCTAGAAAACTAGCTGTTTAATTAAAAAGTAACTATGGGTTAAGCAAATTGTATTGCGATCAAAATAAAATGGGAGAAGATGGCGCTGCAGCTATTGCTGAATCTATGGCTATGATGGATTCACTTAAAAAGATCTGTATGGAGAACAACAATATCAAAGATAAGGGGGCATTGGCATTGAGCAGAGTGTTGGATGAAAATGACACTCTTCTTTCATTATATATTGAGAACAATCAAATAACATCTGTAGGTGCCCAGGCTTTAGCCAAGATGTTGAAAAATAAAATGAAGCTTTCAAAAATCAACTTGAATCATAACCCTATAGGTGATGAAGGACTTTCATACATCAGTGAAGGAATAGCAAATAATGAGACATTAAGAGTCATTACAATCGCCGATGCTGGCATAACAAAGGAAAGTGTCCCTATTTTCGCAAGATCATTACAAAACAAAAGATTTTTGACTAAGATATTGTTGGACTAAAATAAGATTGGAGTCGATGGTGCTAAGATACTAGCTTCAGGTATAAAAGAAAATGAGACTCTCACTAATCTACATTTATCACATTGCTTAATTTTAGAAGAAGGAGCTATTGCTCTAGCTTCATCACTACAAAATAAGAGAAACTTACTAGTTCTAGATTTGAATAATAATAAGATACTGGCTGGAGGTTGTATAGCCATTTGCAAGAATATTCAACATCATACAACTTTGAGAGAACTTTATATGTCTAATAATTATATTGGGCCTGATGGTGCTAAATAACTAGCAAAGGTTTTGCTTAACAAAAAATATATAACTGAGATTTGGTTATCTATGAATGGAATATTTGCTGAAGGGGCTGTAGCTCTTGGTGAGGCTTTGAAAGACAAAAAATATCTCGAAGTTTTGGTATTAAAAAAGAATGACATAAATATTCAAGGTATTAGAGCATTAAAAGAAGTCTTAAACTTATCAAAGACAATTAAAGAACTCAATTTAGCGAGTAATGGAATTGGGGATGAAGGAGCTGCCATTGTTTGTGACGCTTTAATTAATAAACAAAACCAACAACTTAGCTATTTGGGATTATCTGATAATAAGATAACTACCTAAGGAGCTATAAAAGTAGCTTAACTGATCACTAAATGTGATACTTTAACAGAGTTATTCTTAGCTAACAATAATATAGATAATGAGGGAGCTAAAGCTCTTGTTAAAGCTATTAAAGGTCGACAAGACTTTAAAAACATTGATCTTGATAACAACTAATTTAGTGGGGAGGCAATTACAGAGCTTTTTACTATTTTGCCTCTAAATAAATTGAATCTCATTAAATCAAATTTAACTGAGGCTTAAGTGACTCCAATAGCGAAATAAATAAAGCATAATAAAAGCTTGAGTTAAATTTACATGTCGCATAATAACTTGACTGATCATTCAATTGGATTACTTGCTGAAGCAATCAAAGAAAATTCTTCATTGACTGAGCTATTCATTACTCATAATGATTTGAGCTTGCCAAATGGAATAAACTTTATTTAAGGGCTTCAGAATAAACCTAATCTTAAAAGTCTAGCATTAAACTCTTGTAAACTAAATCAAAGCTTGTTGAGAGAATTAGCTGAGTCTTTAAAAGATAATGAAAATCTGAGAGAACTTTATCTATACAGTAATTAGATCGGTCCAACCTAAGCTGTATATGTAAGTCAAATAATTGCCAATAAAAGAAAATTGGCCTCCTTAGGATTATCAAACAATCAAATAGCAGAAGATGGTGCAGTGAATTTAGCTTAAAATGGACTAATAGATAAAGAAAATCTAGCCAAACTAAGTCTAGAAGGTAATTTTATCGGAGGTGCTGGCTTAATAGCAGTCTCAGAAGTTTTGATGAATAATACTGAACTCTAAGAATTATATCTTTACAACAATCACTTGGATGATGTCGGAATGGATAAACTTGGTCAAATGCTTGCTAATAAGACAAATTTATTTGCTTTGGGGCTTGAATTTAATAAAATAGGTGCAGAGGGTGCATCCCATATCTTAGTCAATGTGAAAAAGTTGAAAAACTTTGAGAAGCTATATCTTAACCAAAATGATATAAAAAAAGAAGTTGGCGATGCTATAATAGATTGCTTATCGGTAATTGAGAATCTTAAAGAACTCAGATTAAGCAATAATAAATTAGGAGATGAAGGTGGAAAAGCCATTGCATAAGCTTTAAAGAACAATAAGTCACTTAGGATCTGTCATTTAAGTAATAATAAGTTCTCAGCTGAAGCAGCTAAGGGGATGGCAGAAGTAATCAGAGTCAACACAGTCCTAAGGGATCTAGACTTATCAAGCAACCTAATAATTATGGAGGAACTTTAAGAATTGGCAAACTCTTTCAAAGAGGCCAGTCTTGAATGCCTTAATCTTAGAAACAACTTAATATCAGCTGAGGAAATTCTTGCATTTGATTAGGTTTTGCAGTTCGTCACCAATCTTCCTAAGAGGAAGTTCTTGTTTTGAGACATTATAAATCTCTCTTAGTAAGCTCAAGAGAGTTATTAGTCGTTTAATTATTAAAAATGTTTTAAATTAGTTATACTATTAATTCATTTTTCTAATTATTATAAATGAATTTAATGTTTGAAAAATATAGAATATCTCTAATAACCCCACATCAGACTGTTACTCCACTAAACTAAACACCTCTATAATCTAATCTCCCTTCAGTCAAGTCTTCTAAATAAATGAGATCTCAGAAAGACTTACTAAATGGTATGAAAGCTAGTATAGCCTAGATAAAAGAGCAAATAATACCTGTAGAAACTCAGTCAAAGTAAATGTAAATATTACTCACCTGTTAATTTATCGCAACTAAAGTTTGATAAGAGAAAAGTAATAGGAGAGGAATTTAAATATGCAGAAAAAATAGGATTAAATGCCAAATGACTTATATTTACCAAATATTAAGCCCTTAAAGCCACCTGGGTTTAGTTTGCAGATGAAGCAGGTGAATTGAGAAAGAATAGTGAAGGCAGCCATTTAAAACTCTTTACAAGCATAAACTAAAGAATATTACTCTGCTAAAAGACACATGCATCACAATATGAAGGATTATGAATGCATTTTCCAAGGCACAACAAGTAGTAAGCAATTATTCAATGTCTAAATTTAATATTAGAGCAAATAGTAGATGAGTTTGTAAAAAAGTCGCTCACTACTAATAATAGTTGAAAAGATTTATCAATTCCCCGCTACGATAAGAAGAATGATATATTTAAGCAATCATTTTAGACTTAACTTTCAAAATTCTTAGTTGACTCAAATTAGGTCAAGGTCCCAGGTTTATTTAATCTAGAGGAGGTTATAATTCCCAGGAAGCCAGATGTTTACAGCACTAAAAACTCAAGCGTAATTTTAAATGATAAGCTAAGTACCCAAAGGTAAACTAATAAATATTTACTTGTTATTTTCTGCTAGGTTCAATAGTGAAGTTACGAGAAACTAACAGTATAGAACTGAATCATTCAAGCATATGAATAATTCCTTACTTAGACCTCTATTAAATGAAAGACCTCCAACAAACAACTATGAAAAAGAGGTATCGATTGAGATAATATCAGATGTCGTAATCATGGATAGATTAGAGACTTAGAATGGTGATCAAGGAAGTATGGTCTAAAAAGAGCTTTAATTGTCTGTAATAAAAGAAGATAAATCTGCTGAAAAAGCAGAAAGGTCAAAAGATTTTTCTAATTATCTAGAGAATGGACGATAGCCTAAAATACTCTTAATTCATTCACTTAACAAGCAATAAGGATAGACATAAAGTCTATAAGCAACATCTAAGAGAAGGAAAAAGAGAAGGATTGATGATAAGGCCAGATAATCAGTAGCCATTCATGATTAAGATTCTTAAAGGCAAACTACGCCTATTAACAAACTTTGGAGAAATCAGTCAATCCTATTTTGCTAAAGTCTAAAGTTAGAGCCCAATCTATTATAATAAACATCAAGGCATAAGAAATTAGGATAGTATAGAATGAGGTCAATAAATATCCGAACGAAAAAAAGTAAAAAGAAATGTAAAAAATATTCATTAGACAATAGTGCTGTAATTCAAGATATTTAATACACACAAATTGATCCCATTACAGAAAAAAAATTAGTTGGAATATCTAAAAGGATCGACTTTAATAGAAAGTTCGAGAGATCAGATTTAAGCCTCCTTATAATTAAGTACGATGGATTAATTGGAATGTTTGATAAAGTAGATATTACCAGTGAAAACCAGCAGCTGATTGTTAGACCTGGATTGAGTAAATTGCTGAAGATTCTTCACTAATAATTTCAAATAGTGATATATATCTAGCAAGATAGTCAAGAAAAATATAAGTTAATGAAACAGCATGCCCGTACTTATAAATGTAGCATTAGAGCCAAGGAAATATTTTTCGATGGAATCTATAAATCTTATAATAAATGGTAAACCAACTATTCTTAGATCCTAGTTGATTTTGAAACCCCTCGAGAAAGAGATAATGTTTATATCTTAGAGGCTTTAAATCTCACAGATTTAGATAGAGAATCTATTGAGGTATAAAGAATCCTTGATATGTAAGTGAATTCTGAGTTTGAGATCACCCGAATATTCTTGCCTCATATTTAGATTTTCAATGACTACAAAAATAATAATATCTGCTTGAAAATGATAGCAGAATACATATAAACTTTATTCTAAGAAAATGAAGATAGTGATATTGTTATGCGAGATACTGCTGAGTTAAAAGCAATGAGGATCAAAGCTGGAAAATAGTTCTTACCGCATTACAAACTTCCTGAATATGTAATGCTTACTCTAGACGAAAGACCTCTAATGGATACTGGAACTTATAATAGGTTACTCATGCAAAATACATACATTTAGCAGCAAATTTCATTTTACAAAACAAAATTCGAGAATAGAGTTAAAAGTAGAGAATCTTAATCTAAATTGATTGAGACTATGCAAAAGCAAAGAATCTATGAAAAGCAGATCATATATCTCTGCTATTAAGATAGTGAACAATTCTAAAAGATTTATAACAATGGAAATAAGCTTTAACTTGATGAATACAGCACAGTAACAAGATAAAAAGATGAGTGCGATATATTCAAAGAAATACTAAGGAAAAAGATGAGATAAATTTGAAGCTAGTATCTTCATAATATAGGAACTATAAATATAACAAGATAAAACTATCCAATTAATAATATTCAATATCATTATATTTAAATTATCTATTTTGATATAAATTTAATCTTTAGGGGTTTTGGGGTTTTGGGGTTTTGGGG